GTAGCTTTTGTAGGTCTTGAGATGAAAAATCGGTACAGACGCACACACAGACACACGGACACACAGGTGTTTCCTCGTCAATATGCGTTTTCTGCGTTGTATAGCTGCAAAGAACGCCTAATAAATGGCCAGCGCACCGACTGCCGGTGCAAATATGTGTTTTTTGCATAGTTCCCTGCAGATTTTTGTCGTTAACGGCACTGTTTTCCGACAGATGCGCCTAGTTAAAAGAATTGATACTGGCCACTAGAGCTCCCAGGAAGCATCCCTTAAAATTTCAGCTTTCTAGCTATTCTGTTTCCCGAGTTAACAACTTACCCGAAGAAAAATTTCACGGGTCCGTACGTGGTAGGCACGCGTATCCGAGGACAGGATTTGAACTCATTAATACCTACGTGAGCGGGGAACATCCCCTTAAAATTACAGCCTTCTAGCTCTTGTGTTTCCCGAGTTAGCAACTTACCGGAAAAAAATTTCACGGGTCAGTAAGTGCAGACCACGCACATTTGGGGGCTGATTTTGAAATTATTTGGTTGTACGTGGATAGAGAACATTTCCTTAAAATTTCCACTTTCTAGCCCCTTTGTTTCTCGAGTTAGCAACTTACCCAAAAAAAAAAAAAACTCTCACGGACCAGTACGTAGGGACTATGCATACCCGGGGCTGGGTTTGAGCTCATCAATTCCTACGTGGATGGGGAACATTTCCTTAAAATTGTAGCTTTCTAGCCTTTTAGGTTCCTTGCCGGCAAAAACTCACGTACCTGTACGTGGGAACCACGAACCTTGGGTATGCGTGGAAACGTACGGGCAGTGAAAGTTTTTTTCGGGTAAGTGCTAACTCGGGGGCCAGAATAGCTAGAAAGCTGAAATTTTAAAATATTCTCCATCTATGTTGGTGTAGATCTTAATGAGTTCAACCTAGCTCCCGGATATGGATGTGCGTGGTTCCTACGTACGAGCCCGTGAATGTTTTTGGCAAGTAAGTTAGTAATTCGGGAACTAAGAAAGTTGGAAAGCTGAAATTTTAAAGGTATACTTCCTGCTACTCCTAGCCGCCAGTCTCAATTCTTCCAGCTAGAAGCATTTGACGAAAAAAAAAACACTGCCGTTAGGGACAAAAACCTGTAGTGAACTGTCCAAAAAATGCATTTTCGCGCCCACAGTCAGTGCTTTGGCCTTTTATTTTTTTTAATATTCTGGTCAACTACATTCATAACAGGCTGTCCATGTATACAGCTGGCAACCTTTTCAGTTGGTTTGATCAGTGCTGCGTCAGTTAAAGATCAATCTGATGGCGGTCTTGGTAAATATGTTAAGATCATTGGCTTTTTGCGACATTACTCGATCGTGAAGTTATTCCAGTACTGCTGTCATCATTATATTTAATGAGTTAAATATATTGCTGTTGGACATTAAAAAAAAATAAAATTTCAGGACTGTAATAAAGATAATTGTACGCACATCGAATGTGATATCCGACGGCTCAACGAGGATGAGTTTGTATTAGTGGAAATTTATGCTCGTTTGGCTTTGAACACCTTAATCGACAATAACATCTATGAAGCTGATATATCATCCATCGGGATAGCCAAAATATCATCGCTACCAAGTGCACCAAGATACAATCCACCTGCACAACTTGTTGCTGTATGTCTTTCTCCTT